AACAACTATTATGACAGCAAAGGCAATTTGTTGCACTCACTCAGACTCAGACACAGACACTGGTACACTCGTACACTGGCACAAAAAACCAGATAGAATTGTATCTGTGAGGGACAACTCAATGCGCCGCTCTCTGCTAAAGTTGTCGGCTATGAAAAATGGATCTGCTCCAGAAGATTTCAGTAATCTCGTTCGTCACACTTGGCCGCTCAAGTACAAATTTATGAAGAGTCCGTCGAGGAGCCCTCCGGTCCCCCACCAGTAACCCTTTGCTTCTGACCATGTCCAAGTTAGTTTTATTAACTTGTATTTGTGCAGAGAAAGAAAAGTCTAGAAGTAAGGGAAATCAATTCAACTTAGAGAAAGGTCTTTTCGTTAATATTGTTTTACTATTTCTATATAGATATGTTCTTCTACTTTTCCAAAGTGTAGTTCTATCTCCCAAGTCACTAGAGATGCACTCAAGAATGTCACGGTAGAGTGGCCAAAGTGTCAGTGGATTGCTTGGCAGTACAAGACATTCCGAGTGCCGGTTATGATGTAAGTTCAATAAATTTTCCATTGCAACAATGCCAGACAATGGCAGCCGGCAATCAGAGTTGCCTCAGCTCATTTGCATGGCAATCTCTTGCGAAATCCCAGCTAAATGACTTTGGCAAACTTACAATATAAATGTATATCCACCTCCTGTGTGAAGAAATGGGCGTTGTTGAAAGCGCACAAAACAATTAATGTGACTGCGATGGGCTTAATGAACTTTGCAAAAATAATAAAACAAAAACAAAAAGGCAAAAATAAAGAGCACAAATACAGAAGGCAAGTGGGAAAAGGGAAAACCTGCCTGCGATAACCCTTTCACATTCGATTTAGCATTTAACGATGCACGAAATCAGCCTCTCTCGGTGGCCAGTCATTTCCACAGTCATTTCCACAGCGATTTCCACTTCCAGGCCGACAATTTCCACACATTTTTCAATTAATTAAACCAAAAATATTCTTGTTGCTTCTGTTGGCCCGTCTCGATGTGCCTTTTACAATTGACGTAAAATATAATTAAAATTGTTCATGTCAATACGCAAAACGAAATCGGAGTTAAGGGGGGCTTTTCCAAAGGGGTTTTTGCGAAAAAGTCGACGCGATGCGACGCATTCAATCAATGCGTGGCAGACAAAATGCAAAATGCACTTTTATTGTATTTTAAAACAAATTGAAAAGCCAACAATTCGCTGGGAAAAAAGGGGGCAAAATGTTGTTGACCAAGAAAAAACAATACATTCCATACTCTTTTAATAAATCTGGGTCGGTGCAATAGTGTTACATATTCTTAATAATTATATAAATGGTATATGCTATATGGAGTCTTATTATATATTTTGTTATATATAAAATAATATAATAAATCAAATGAATTCTCATATAATTCATCAGCTTTTAAAGACAATGCCTTGTCTAAATTATTTTGCTGACCTCGATCCATTAATTTACCTTTAAGCTGCCTGTCATATGTTAATCGGAATTTATGGTTTAATATTTTGATAATAGAGCGAGAATTATTTCCCATTTTCTCATGACAAAACAAAGACCATCTGAGTTAGGGTATTTCTACAAATATACATATGACAAGAAAATTCGCATTGCTGTGTAATAATAAATATTTTGTCTGGCTTTTGTTATTGTACAACAATTGTTGTCTCTGCAAATGTGTTTCCTTTTTTTTTTTGCTCTGTTACATTTAATCCTACATTACTTCTGTAGCAGCTTTGATTTTTGCTGTTGCCGTCAATGTAAATGGGCCAAAAAGGGCGTGGTTTTTGCCGCTGGATTTTCATGCATGTCTAGTTTTGTGTTTGCAGTTTTTACTTTCACCATCGAATGCAAATTGTCAAAGCCAACTGTTGGCTGAATTTCATTTTCGATTGGTACGTAGGCTTAGGGATCGACGAACATCAATAAGTAAGACAGAAATATCATATTAATCCTATAGCATTGAGATCTTTAATTTTCTCTACGAATACCAGTTTTACAGAAAGTTTAAAGTTGTAACAATTTTAGAATTTCCTTTAGAATGGACCTAAGCCACCTTTGATTGCCTTTTTTAGAAACTTAAAAAGGACTTCAAGGTCGTACTTTCGTGCTCTAAAACTATGTAGCACCTATGCCACCTCTGATGCGACCCCAAAGAAAAACTCACCGTCTTTTCACCTACCTAATGGCCATGCCACAAAACGCAGCGTCAACATCATTATGGTGAGCCGGTTGATTTCTTTTGACGAAAGCGCAAAAATTTTCCTAATGATGCCGCCGCTGAAAATCGACTGCAACTAACTGTTCGGTCCCAACCCCACCGATTTTTACCCACTTGCCCCCGCTGGCTGCAGTAATCTGGTCATGGCCAACGTGGATGATTGTTGACTTTTATGATTTCCATTTCTTAGCATTATTATGGACGTGTGGCGAATCAACAGCGGCAAATAGAAAACACAGCAGTTGTTTAGCAGCTCCAGTGGTACGAAAATCAATAGAAATCCCCCGGATGGAGCTCCCAACTCTCCCCTGTTCATCTGCGGTGCGTATGCCATAAATCGTAACAATAACCACTTGCCACTTGGCCAGACAACGAGTAGACATAGAGTTGAACTCGGTTTGGGATTCGGATTCGGACCGGGAGCTGGTGTTGGTGTTGGAGTTGGAGCTGGACTTGGACATTGAGTTTGCCGCAGAAGGCGGCATACGATTTCACTTGACTGACAAACAGACATAAGCAAAGTGTTTGCCCGTTTGCTGGCATGGCCATATCCCTCAAGTGACTTTCTAAGCGTTGCCCGAATGCCGGCAACATGAAAAATGTGGAGCGAAGGCCGTGCAGATGCAGTAGCCAGTATATAGTAGTAATAAGAGCTCAATGCCATTATCAGAGAGTAGCGGCATCAAATCCCCATTTGATGCTTTGTAACCGGTACTTGGGTTGAAATAAAGAGGTATATTGGGGTATATCTCAGGATTTGGGTCTTAAAATTTAGTACACTTACAATTTTGATGCTCATGTTTACTGACAATGCTTTTTAAACTACTTTACAACACTGATTTCGTATTAATTCAATTGAATATAAATAATTGAAGCTTAATTTAAGTTTACTGACAATGCTTCTTAAACTACTTTACAACACTGGTTTCGTATTAATTCAGTTGAATATAAATAATTAAAGCTTAATTTTACCCAAGGTATCCTTCAGTCGCTCTCCTTTGGGTTTCCTTGTCCCTGATTGGCATATCCCATATTCCTGGGACATCCTTGAAGCCTGCGTGTCCAGTGTTGTGTAGTGTGCTCACAAATATTGTCGCACACAACTCATAAAAAGCCCATTTATAACTGTTAACTTGTACAAAAGTATTTACAGACGATTTAGCAGCTCACAGAATTACAACCATCGCCACACAATTGCAATTGTTTATTTGTGTTTACTGCTCTGGCCGCCCAACCCACCCCCTCTCCCCTCCTGTACGGAGGGGGGATTGAAACCCCTCATTTCCCTTTCTCTCCCCGGAATTTTCCCCCTTTCAACTGTGCTTCTTTTGCTTTGGCAACTACTCCATCTCCCTTTTGGTAGCAATAAAAAGTGTTGTTATTTGTACAATGTTGTTTGTGTGTGTGCCAGAGTGTGTTTTTTGTTTTGTTTGCTATTATTGTTGTTATTATTACAGTTGTTGTTGTTTAGTGGCCAACACAGCTGCTGCTGACACGCAGAATTCAATGCAACAAGCAGCAGCAGCAACAAAACTTAATAAAAAACGAAACAATAGTAAGAAAAAAGCAGAGAGTAAAAGAAACAAATAAAAGCAGTAGCAGCAAAAATCATCGAGAAAACTCAAAACGGGGAGAATCCAAAGTTTGCCATTGTCCCATGGCTGAATGGGCATAAAGACGAGAGTATACAAGTTTTTGGGGGGAGTTAAGGGTTAATGATAACACTTGTCAAAGGTGTGAAAAGGTTTTTTTCCCCACCAAACAATGGCGAAAAAATTGTTACTCTAACTTAAGTATACTGTGAGTTTGGTTTAACAAATGTTACTATAATTAAGGAAGCTATAAAAGTTCTCCTACTCCCAATGCATTTTAAAATCTGATTTATTTTGAAATAATTAATGCTTGTTAAATACTCCAATGCAAAGTAAGGAATGACTATCAGTTTTTAACAAGGAGTGCTCTGAATTGAATTCATAATTCATTCTTAAATTAATCTCCTTCAACCAAGAAAACAATTCACAATCTTTTTGTTCACACATTAATAAATTCAGATGGTTGGGCATTATTTTGCTGCTAAACTTTGGTGATTAATAACTCTCAAGGCCGTTGCTAAACATGCTTAAGTGAATGGAGCAAGCAGCTTGTGACCTCATAATTAGTTATGTGCCTGCATTAGAATGTGCCTTAAATTAAATTAAGCTCTGTATTCTAAGCCGCTTAGGCGTTTACCAAATCATTACATCAATGCTAATTAGTCTGCCAACATAAGGGGGGTATTTCTGACAGGTTGAAAACAAGAGATTTTATTTTACCCCAGGAATATTGAGCAGCTTAATGCTAAATAATTAGTACAAAATGTATGGAAAATACCTTGAAATATACCCCTAATTTGTTAGTACTTCTACTATTTTATGGTGTGGAAATGGTAAAGGGATAGCCTTCAGTTAGTTTACATTGTGCGTATTTGTTTTTATTTACAGCACAAAATAAAGGAAAAGTAAACAAATGCATTTTATCTGCCAACCAACAGAGTGCAGCACATTTATAGGAAAATGGGTTATGAAAAACAATTTGAAAAGGTATTAAATTTATGTCAGTCCCTCTGCCTGCGGTGCTGTTGTTAAATTTTATATGCACATACGCAGTCGCTGTCAGCGGAATTTCTCATATTGATTTTGCTTTAAATAATAAAAACTCTTTTTCCACTATTTTCCTTTTTATTTTTATTTATTTCGTTTTTTTTTTTCGCTTTCAGTGGGCTGTGCAGCGTTTAATGGCCGATGGATAAAGTGAGGTAAGTGAAACAAAAAGCCAGAAAAGGGGAGTGTTGTTTTTGTGTGGCGTTGCTTATTAAAAATAGCTGCCTGCTGCTGCTGCTAAAAAAAAGAAACTTAAAGTGCATGGACAGAGACAGAGACGCAGTCACGAGGCTTGTTGGAGCATTTTTCAAGAATTGGGACAACAAGGCGCATAAATAACCGACATGCCAACAAAAAACGAAGAAAAAGCCTGTAAAAAACTAAGCGAAACTCGCCAAGATACTGCACTTAGAATAGTAAACAAGCGATGGCGACTGGGGTTGATGCACTGGGAAAAATAGATACCTCAAAAGGTATTATTTAACATAAAATATTGAAAGGACTAGAAAGTGCCCTATGGCATAACATTTTCTTTGAAAATGTGATTGTTTTGTAAAGGTTTTTATTAACACATTTAAATTATGAATTCGGTAGTAACTATTTGTTCTAGAAAATTTCAAAAAATGTCAAAAGAAATTATATTTACTTCGCATTGAATATCCTTGACCATTTTCCTCAGTGTCCTTGGGAGGCACGAGTGTGTGTGTGTAAAGGAATTGCAACTAAATACGAGTGCTAAGATGAAACGCAATGCATCCCCCTTGCCCCGGATTCTCTTCCCTCCCCCCGCTCTGCGCTTTTCGGCCCACAGTGGGAGCAAAAAGAAAGCGCTCATACCGGTTTTCCACTGTCCCAGAGACAGTGGTACTGCACGGGGACAGGTTTATTTTCCCGTTGGGACTGTGTGACAAATCAAGCGAGAAGCGAGAGCGAAGACAACAACCGCGACCGTAGAGAGAGAAAAGAAAAGAAAAACCGATACAACAACGGCAGCCTCCGTGCGCGGAAAACGTCAATGGCCAGGAAAATTCTGACAGGGAGGGGCAGGGGTACTCAGGGGCGGAGGGCACTGCTGCAAGCTGCGACGCTCTGCGTAATGGCAGCAGGAAATTGAAAAAAAAAAACTTGCCGCGCGCTCACCTTTGGGTCGCTTCTGTTGCATTTCCTTGACTGTTCTTGGCGCTTTTCCCCAGCCACAGGGTATTCGCGAAGAACTAGGGTATATCCATTTATAGTCACTGAAAGATTTCTAAAATATAATTGAGCTACAGCGAAAGATAGCTATATATATATTTATAGGTACTACTCTCTTTCTTTCTGATCTTTGTTACATTTCTATATTGTTTTTACTTTTGTAATTCAGAACAATCGGAAAATCAAATAAAAAGTTTCACAAATGTATAAATGTATTTAAAAGAACATTATTGAACATTATTGAACATTATCACAATATTGACTTTTATGCCGGCAGCTATGACCCTGAATATGGCTCAAATAAACCACATTAATTGCCTTGTTTTCCATTGTTGTTTCTGACATAAATCCAATTTAATTTTGAATTTAATTCTTAGTTGGTTTTAGTGAGTATCTTGTATTCGTTTACGGTTTTCAATGCAATTTTTTGCTTGCTCTTGACAGTTGTTCCCACCTTAACCGCCTAGGAAAAGTGTCAAAAGTCAAACACTTTTGCCTGTCGCAGACCCGATCTCTTGAGTTGTGCGAGTCACAGAGCAGGTTCTTTGATGATTTATGCCACTTTATAGTCTTTGGCAAAAGGTATGCAGTTTTAAAAAATGACATTTTTCAAGATCTAAATTTCAATTTAGAGCCCGAGAACTTTACCTTGCTAGAAATTTATACTTGAGAGCTGTACTGCAAAACCAAATATATTTTTTATAATACTGTGACTGTTTATTTGGAATATTTTTCTTATTCTTAATTCTTATATCTTTACATAATAATGAATATCTCTAGCATTATGATTTATCATTGTTATTCTCTATTTATTCATTTTCAAAGTTTTTCAACTAATTACTTGTAAAAAGTCTAAAATATGTCCCTAAATTAATGTTTAGGTTAGCTAGTAAATCACAATTAATTAACTAATGACTTGAGAAATAGTTCCCTAAAGTTATTTATGTTCTAAGTAGTATTTATCCTACATTTTTCCCATATCCTGAAGATACTTTCGCTTGTTCTTCTGCTGCCTGGCGAGTTGCTTTTGCATATTGCTGCGCAACCTGTCGCGATATAACCTCTCCCGATCCAGGACCCTGTTCAGCTGGCAACTGGCCTCCGTGTCGTACTCCAGGTCAAAGGCCGTCTCCCACTGGCGACGCTGCTGGAGCTGGATGAGCTCGTTCGTCAGCTGCAGCTTGGTGCTGGCGATGCGCATCAGACGCCTCTTGGGGCGGCATAGCTCCCTGAGGTGGAGATAGAGGGCATAGCTCAGGGAATGTTCCGCCCTCAGGGATTTTCCACATTTTCCGCCGTCTGACATTTTTCCTGCTCCTGTTCCTGCTGCTGCTGAATGTTCTATGCAAATCAAAGCGTTCTCCCCGGCGATTGGAGGCCAAATGATGCAATCAGTGCGTGTGCGGGCGCCTTTTAAGCCAGTCAGGTAGATCGATCAGGGTTTTTGCAGAAATCCTGAATTTATTGAGCCAGCCATCTTGCAACTGGAGAGCTCAATTAGCTTTTACCTGCAGAAGGTCGGCGAGGAGAGCGAGTGCATGCATGTCTGTCGGTGTACCTGATGCCAGTACTTGCAGGCTGAAGCTAATCTCGTACCGCGACTTGAACTGATTACATTTTCCGACCCAGCTGCGATTTCTGCCTTCGATTTTCCAGCTTTTCCGATGCGATGCTGCTGCTGCTTCTGCACCGGTGTCATTTGCCAGCGGGTAAAGCAGGAAAAGCGGCGGAATAGAGCTCCTGGTTCAATGCAAATGCGCTTTGCATGTTGCCGCTAATTGGCAACAGTTGTCGATGCTACTGTTCTTTCTCTTTCAGAGTCGCAATGCACTTGGCGGAAATACTTGGCCCAAGAATGCTATCTGAGGTGTACTTTCAATAGGTTGTAGAAACCTCAAGGATCTTCTATAAAAAGTCACCTCTGTTTGACAATGCTTTTCGTATCAAATGCAACTACAAACCTGCAACATTTTTAAGATCTTGTTAGATCTTGATGCCTCATTAATTATGCACTGGGTCACCATTTGTTTTTGTTAAACTCAAGCACATTCTCGACAATTTGTGTGATAGTGTACGTTTCTCAGTTCTTTTTATTTTCCACTCCACCGCGGCCTGCATGATTAATGAACGCCGTTATGCTCTTACGGCTCTTACGGTTCAGGGGGTCGGATAGGGGGTCGGATCAGGCCCTACATATAGAGCGGTACGCGTTGCGTTTACTGGCCATGTGTGTAACGCCGAGGTGTTGCATAAGTCGGCGCCATAAAACCGTACCGGCAGAAAAACAATAAAAGACCAGCAAATTAGAAATTACCTTTATGTGTGCAATGCAAAGTAACAACAACAATAAGCAGCAGAAGAAGCACACAAAAAAATGGTAACAAATTTACACACAATGGGCTGTTAGTCTGAGGTTGCAAGGCGTAAAGGGGGCAATGCCTTGTGGCAGTGCGTGGCATTACGTAAGCGATTTCTTTGGCCAACACTCCGCATCTCGATCTCATTAAGCCTGGGCTTTAATCGGAACTCGGCGTTGGGGTTAAATCGGAACTGGAGTTACCTAGGCAGTGCTTCCGCACTGAAATGGCCAAGACCCCCAGCATCACGTTGCCAAGTGATTTCCCTTTATTTCAGCTGCTAATTAACCCACATGCTACCGAGTGTGAAGTGAAAATTGTGCTCTGGGCAGTCCAACTGCATTACAATGTTATCCAAATGACAATACGCAAAATATAGAAAACCCTTACTGCCGCCAGGAAAGTTTTCCCCGGCCAGAACTACATGGAAAACTAAAAAATATATATTGTATGGAGAGAAAATAACTAAAAAGTACATCAAACATATAACAAAGCAAAACAAAGCAACAAAAAGGACTGTTTTCCACATCAAAATGCACATAAATAATAAATGGGAACCAGCCAAACGACCAGAACAGAACAGGAACCCGGACGGACACGAGAACTCGGAACCTAAAAACAAAAGCGAATCGAGATGCCAAAATCGAGAGAACTGCCAAAGCTGGGAAAGCTGGGAAACTGAACATGGAAAACTCTAAACTAAAAGCAGAGAGAACTGTGAGGAGCAAATAATGTTGGTCAGCAGAGGAGCCTTTTGTATTTTTCTGGGACAACTGTTAATAATGAAAGCGCTCGCAAAATTATGAAATTAATTTTCAAATTTTAATTATGCAACAGTTGCCGTAGCTTCTCTGCCGAGCTCCTCAAAATGCAAATTGACTCGCACATACAGAAACTCCATGGAGTTGTCCCTTTTGTGGCTGCCACTGCACCACCAACTCCAACCCCTTTTCAAGGATAAGTAGACCCTAGAGATGGCAGGACATTTATGGTGGCCGTAACGGTGGTACATTTTGGGTTGATATCTATCGAAATTATCGATGTATAAGCTTTGTAAATATAATTTGTGCAACTGTTGCCTTTTATTATAACTAATTATAAGGATATAAGGATAAATGTGTACTAGAGATGACAGGCCATCAATGGGGACACTTTCAATATTTTGGACTAATAATAAAATTATCGCAAAATATTATTTGTGCTATTCGATAAATAATCGTAATTTAATAATAATATAACGTAGGGAAAGTCTTACTCATTTAAACAAAGAACACCAAAATATTCTCCATTTAATAACCTTTTTAATAAATGTGGCCTTTAAGACCTTCAATTGAGAGACCATAAAGCCCCTACATTTACATATACTTCATAAGGCATTATCGATAGTTTGCCAGCTCTAATAACCATTGACCTCCGTCCAGCTTTGATGATGCAGCTGCAGCCCGGGGTCTAAAATCCCCACTGAAAACCCCCCTCTAACCTCCCTCTTCTGCCACCGCTCACAAGCCAATTCAATTGCGGCTCATACACGCATCTGTGAGATTTTAGCCGGGTGTGCTGCTGTTCAACTTTGATTAGAGTTAAGCCCTAAATTAGTTGCTGCCGTTGGCCGCGTTGATGGAACGACCTTTAGGCCGCGTTAATACTTCCTCTGTTCCGACATTCACCATGGGAATGAGAAGGGTGCGGGCTTCTCGATGAAGTCATCGAATGGGAAGCGGATATGTAGAGGAGCTCTTTAGATGACATGAATATAAAAAAGATATATTTGAAAGATTTATAGTAAAACTTAGGGAAATTTGATTATAATTATATCTGGTTTAAGAAGCATTATAATTTTATTAAATAAATAATATGTCTTGTTACTTGAGTATACCAAGGAATAGTTGGTTTTTATAATATTTTTAATACTCATATAATTTCGTTTACTTCCGTAAACAAATTCCTTTAATTGATTCAAGTTTGTAAAGGTATTTGTCGGATGTGGTTAATCCCTGTTAACTTGACTTGGGCCACAGATTGGGATGTCGTTAACAATCACACACGGCTGCACCACATCACATATGTAAATGTAAACGTTAACCATCCGAGTGTTAATCGCCTCGACTTGGACGCAGCTGTCAGCCGGACATGGCCAAGAACAATGCCCGTGGCAAGTTGGCAGCAGCAGCACTTCCGAAACTTGGCCGATGCCAACTTATTAGCGGACACCGTTTAATGGGCCCAATTAATGTCAACCAAGTTCGTCGCCGGCGGCTTTATTTCGACTGCTTACTGCTTACTTCTGGGCGACTTGGTAGCAGCCTTTGGGCCAAGAGTGAAATTTACTTGAAACGAAAGTTTCGCGGCCATTGATTGGCTCGCTTCGCTGCACGCCAACAAAAAGCCAAGTCCACGGAGTCGAAAACTTTTTCGGATTGAACATTTGTAGAAATGCATAAAAATTAATTAACAAGCAGATGCCGTACCGAGAGCACTTTTAGCTAAAATTATTATTAGCCATTCGAGCCAGAGACGTAGACGGAGCCAGAGAGTCGCGCAAAAATACAAAAAATTAAAGCCAAAGCATAAGAATTTTTAATTGGCTTTTCTGCTTCATCTTCTCGCTGCTTTTGTTGCTATTATTATTCTTGTTGTATTTGTTGTGTTTCCTACTCAATGCCGTCGTCATCGTCGACTTCTCGCACATTTAAGCCTAATTAACTTTCTACTTAGAGCTCAGTTTTCATCTTCTCGCTGCCGCTACAGGGGATCTACACTGTGGAAAGCAGGGTTTTCTTAAATTTAGACTATAAATGCTGATAATTTATATGAAAAATCTGCATCTAAAGCTTAATTTAATTATATTTAATAATCTGTTGATTGCTCCAAGTAAATACTTGTTTTTATTGTGTTAGTTGCAAATTTAAAATTCGTATTTTGAAAGGAAAAATATTACGTATACGCCCCTGAACCTCTTATTACCCCAATCTGAAGAGGTCTTTTATCACCTTTTTTGAGTGTAGGCCTCCATTCCTTGGCTTTGACTGCAGCTTCTGCATTGTTCGCCTTTAGTTTTAGCCTTCTTCGTCCCGTTGTACCTTATTGTGCTAGCCGCCTTTTGGTGTTTTAGCTGCTTTTTCTACTTTTTTGCAGGCTGCTCTTGCACTGCGTCAACTTCTAATTTCATTTGAAGCCTCCGCTGCTGGCTTTGATGATGCTCTTGCCAGGGCCAAGCGCAGAATTCGCTGGCTAACAAGGTGAAAAGTAGGTGAATGTTAAGCGGCGGCACCAGCACGAGCAGCAGCAGTAGCGGCAGCAACAACAATGTTGGGAAAACAAAAGAAAAATGGCAACAACACTAACAATGACAAAGAGTAAACAACATTTAGCGAAAGACCGAAGTGGAGAGAGAAAAACAAAACAAAAGACAAAACGTGCCAAAAAGGGTTAGAGCCAAAAACAAAAGACAAACAAACAAACATATTAACGTAAAATGTTGTTGGCCCGGACAAGATGTTGCTGCCGCTTGGGAAGTGTATATATCGAAAAGAAGAAAGAGGTGCTGATATATCGAAAAAAAAAATATAAAAGAAAATTAAAACAAATTAAACATCAAAGAGAGTGTACAATGTCAAAAGTAGAATTATTTTGATTAAATACTAGAAACAACATTAGAAATTAATTATTATACTTGTTAACCATATTTTTGTATGCACAAAAAATTATTCAGTATTTTCCATAGTTTCTAGTAGTACAATATATCGAAATAATGTAGATATATATCGAAATATATCGCGTTTAACGATTAGTCCCATCCCTATTGCCGTGCATGTTGCTGCTGCTGTTGTTGATGGCTCCGATAAGTTGCTGCTGCTCTCAACTTCAACTCACTGTCTGGGATCTGGACTGCGGAATCTCGGATCTTTGGGCGATAGCTGGCATCTTCCTCTTCACCGGAAGTGCACAT